CGTACTGGACCCAGAGGAAATGATCCCTAATCCTTGTAAAGAAAAAGCCTGTATTGTCTAATGTCTCATCAAAGATATGGCTGAGAGCAGCCTCCTACAAGTAACATCAGTGCACTAAGTTTGTTTGCTGAAAACACATGGAGGTCATTCCCAGTAGTCATTCTTAATCCTTGAAACTCCCTCACCCTTGAAGTCCACCTGAGCCAGATCCAGAACAGCTTCTGGAAAACTTGTAAGACCTTCCTACTTGGGCAGGTGTTCAGAAAGCAAGGCTAAACTGGGACATAATTTGGAAGTTTTTGTTTTATTTCTTTTTTGTAATATTCTGCCTGCTTTTATAAGTGAATCTATCGTTAATTTGTAAGCCACTTTAAGCTTTTGTTGGGAAAGGTGGCATATAAATATAACAAGTAAATAAGGCCACAGAGACCCACAGAAACAGACTTAGAACCAACATCAGCCTTGATATCAACACTGAGACTTTAATCAACCCTAGTTTCAACGTCAGATATTGAAATTAAGTACTAAAAGGAGCTCAGCATTCTTCTACAAGGCCAGTTACAACGTCCTTTTGGGAGATATTGCAGAATAAATCCTACAAGCCTTAACGACTGGAGAAAACATGCAGACTGTAATTCGCTCCAGATACTGTGCCTGGTATGAAGAAACTTCCTATCTATGTCAGTTCCAACATAAAGAGAGGGGACTCAGACAAAACTGGCATAATTTTCAGTACTAACATATACACTGGCACCAGTACAGAATCCAGTGCTTATCAGTCAGCCATACCCATAGAGAAATTCAGCTCACTCTTTTAGGGGCATGTCCTGCCATGGGTGCCAGGGAGTGCCTCTGAGGTCTGTGAGGAGAGCTATCAGGAAACAATGGAATAACAACCCCCAATCACTGCTAGGTCACTAAAACTAGCATTAGTGCAATGAAGAATCTGCAAGTCACCCAACAGCATATAGAATGCCACCATCATCCTATTGGGAATACTGAGACTCTCCTTCAGAGTCTTTAAGAGTTAGCTAATCCATCGGAGAAGAAGAGGTCCCTCTCCTACCATACGGGAGCAGCACTAGTAGCACCTTTCTTCATTGCCAGATAAAGCAGTATTAAATAAATTGGGTGGGTCACTGATGTTCTGCAGATTGAAGTATCAGTAATCTCCAAAATGCCTTGCATGGTGTTTGACATCTTGCCAGCTTCTGTCTGCCAAAATTATCCTTCCTTCTTCCTTCCCCCTCAGTTATCTTGGCTGTGTAAGAAAATCTGAGGTCACCCAAGAGCAATCCAGAGGATGCCAATATCTTGATCCATTTTGGGAGGAAATCATACTCCTTAGTGTCATTTCAGTTGTAATTGGCCAACTGCCAGATACTGCTGACCAAATTCAGTTTTCTCACGTGGGATAAGGAAACATCCTTCCTTGCCAAGGTCTGTCATAATAGCAATGAGGAACCTGGGAACCTAAAAAAGAACAATTAATGGTGGAAAAGGCCTTGCAGATCATGAATTGTCTTAGACACTTCATCAAGGCCTATAATTGCCATGGTGACCTTCTGTAGACTATTGTTGCTTTAGGCCTACATATTACATAAGTACGTACTGTGATCTTAGGTCTTTGAACACCTTATACATACAGATGGACTGCATTCTTTTGGAATTACTCTCCTTCTGTATCACAGATCTTTTTACCAGAACCTGCCAATCCATGTAATGTTGTCCCACCAAAGACTGATGGAATACTGCACCAGAAAACATGCAAGATACACCAGAGAACAACCTCCCTTTTTCAGCACCACACCCTTCTCCTTTATTGTATCTGCCAATTTGAGAAAAATGGTCAAGAGCTGCACCAGACCCAGTCAGTAGAGTAGGGCCTTTTAAAAACTATCCTCTCCATGTTCTACCAAGTGTGATCTGCCTTGACTTCAGAGAGAGAGAGAGATCTTGTTGACCCTCACCCATGAATACTGAATCCAGTTCCATTCTTTAGTCCCTGTCCAGTCCCTTCTCCCATAGCTTTTTGGGAACCCTTCTCATGAGAAATGGCTTTTCTGCTTCATCTTGGAGCCATAAAGGAAGCTCTTCATAGAGGTAGAGCAGAGGGCACTTCTTTAAATTCCCTTATTCCAAATAAAGAGGGGAGTTTCCTGTCCTGGAATCAGAAGACTCAGAAAATGCCATTTTGGGACCTGACAGGTAACACTTTGTTTCAATTATTTCATCATGCCATGATCAAGCCTCTTAGCCTACAACTCTCAGCCTGCAGGATGTCTCATTTCACACTCCTGTTCGCACAGGAAGCATCCGAGTTTTCCAGTGGACCTCAACCATTACCAGTGCAGGTTTCTGTTTTTTGGATTCAAGGCACCAAGGGTATTTGTCAAGTCCCTGTTTGTAGTGATAGCTTATCTAAGGAAACAGGGAATCCACATTCACACATCCACATACATACAGACCTGAGCATAAGTCTTGAAATTCTGACCTAACAAAACCAGAGCACAGGGAGAATCAAGACTCTCTGATGTCTTACCCCAACAGCTGAGCAGTTAGGAAACTTGCCCTAGGAAGTCGGAGACCCATATTCCAGTGAATGTGGATTCCCTGTTTCCACATTCACCTGTACCTGGATGAGTGGCTGATCAAAGGCAGGTTCCAGCAGGAGACACTGACTACTTTAAATCACATTCTTTCCCTGTTCTCCCAACTACTTTTGAACTATGGAAAATAGTCCCATATTCTGTTATAGAGTTCATAGGAGTTCTAACTCCAGATTGAAGTTTGTCACTGGGTTTACTTACCAGATGATAATTTGACCATCAGGTTTGTCTCCCACGTGATATGTTCCAGGTCAGCCACACACATTCTACAAACAAAACAGATGATGATAGGATGTACATCTGAGGTAATTAGCCATTTGTCAGTGTGTATGTATGTAATACCGCTTGCCAAATTTCACTTACAGCCTTTCAGACAGAGACCAAGATCTATGTGCTTTCCATTTACTCCTCATACAAGCAGACGGGTCATAGTTCTACCTCAAATGCTGAGAGAGCTTGGCAAGTGGTTGCAACCTTTAAACATAAGTAATGTAATGAAATTTTGTTCCTTTCCTTGACGGTGGTATATGACAAGGCATATACCCTTAAGGGAGAACTTTAAAGGAAAGGTTTCTGGGATTTAGTGGCCTCTGATCCTAAGGCGAAGCCTGAGCCTTGTACTCAGTTCTGGCTCAATGTGCAACTTTAGACAAGACATTTTTATGACTTTTTGTAAGTTTTTATGACAAAATTCTACCCAGAAAAATTCCATGAAGCTATCTAAAGAGGGAAAAGGGTCATTACCCAGTCCCTTTTTTGGCCCCCCTTTTAAGGCTGGTCCACTTGGCAGCAGAGAGAGGGAGATATATGGGGCCTGGAGAAGAGTAAGCTATATAGGGTGCGACTAAATGAGAAGGTTGCTGTCCATGTGTTGTATCTTGGGCCATAATTCCCAGTGCAGCAGTAACTTCCCCATTGCTCTCCATCCACTTTATCCAATGAATATTAAATGCAAGGTGCATTGGCTCCTGATTTAAAAGGAATCATGCCTAACCCATGCTCTGGTGGTTAGAAATTGCATGCTATGCTGGGAAGTCAGAAAAGCCAGATCAAATTTTGTGGATGAGGGAGGGGGGTCTGGAATATGGGTCTCCGACTTCCTAGGGCAAGTTTCCTAACTGCTCAGCTGTTGGGGTAAGACATCAGAGAGTCTTGATTCTCCCTGTGCTCTGGTTTTGTTAGGTCAGAATTTCAAGACTTATGCTCAGGTCTGTATGTACAGAGCTGCAGATCTGCCCAGCTAGAATGCAGTCAGCTGAGCATGTTCAGTAGTTTTGTGGATGCTTACACATTCACACTGCATAGTGAGTAGGATCACAAACTATAGGTAAGTGGCAGTTACACAGTCAGAAACTGCCATTTGGGCACACGGAGTGAAACAGGATTCTGCCTTGAATGATTCTTTTGAGTTTGTTTATAAGTGCTTTAAAATGAAAAGATGCTAGATATGAATGTATCAAGACCATATACCATATTCACTGTGTTGTTGTAAGCTGATACTGTTTCTGTGACATGGTAAAGATACTTAAGCCATGTTGTTGGGAGAATACAAATTAATGTATTACGGTAGCTACAAAGAAGTCAATGGAGGTATGCTGATTTACATCAGCTGAAGATCTAGCCTTGTAGTGCTGATTGTATATACAATTGATAATGGTATCAGTGGAAAATGTGCATTCATGCATTAATTGTGGCTTAGTCCTAACTGATTTTAGGCAGCCCATAAAGAGTCAAGAGAAGTCAGTAGTTTACATTCATTGTAATGGTTATAGTAATGGAATTATGCTGTAGAAGCCATCGGAGAAAAAAATAACACCGTATTTTTCCTTTATTGTATACTTCCTTTCATTTATTGAAGAAACCATTCAAATGTATTAAAACCCTAGACAAATACAATAAAGCAAGGACTTACACACTTGCTTAACTAAGCATTTGGAGTGGTCCCGTTGCATATATACTTTGGGCTCGAATAAGATTACTCACATGTGTAAGTCTTGCAGCTACCCAATGTCCTTATCCTGCAAACTCGTGATGCCTATATACCAGGTGGTACACAAATACCTTAAACCAAACCAAAAATCTAAAATACTTTTCATAGTAAAATGTCATGCTAAACTTGGATATGTTGGGATTTTTACCAAGTACTTTCAAGCTGTTGATGCATCATGAGCTGTATTTTATTAAATAGTGTATAAACAATCCCTAAAAATAAGATGACTTACTGAATAATAATGCATTTGCACAGTATTTATTCATGTGCAATTAAATGTGTTTTTATCCATGTAATAGACCCAGTCTTAAGTGCTTGGAGCTTTTCCACCTACATATTTTTTAAAGTAAACAGAACACTATTTTTAAAAGTATAAAGATAATATTTTCCTCTTTTTTTAGGAACCAAGGTTACATTCGGTGAGAAGACATTTTTCTCATCCTTCGTCTGTGAGTCTCAAGCCTCGATATACGCGAAGCCCTCACTTTCATCCTAGGAAAGATTACAGAATGGAAGATACAATTCTCACTCCACCTTCCTCTACAGACTCTGTAAAATAGAGTTTTAGATGTCTACCATGCTAATATATCTAGCACGTGGAGGGTATGTAATTTTCTAACATATAACATTTGCTGAATTTGCCTAAGTTAAAATGTCTTCACTTTTTGTAAAAGGAATAAAAAGAAGTCTTGCAGTTCAGGTTAACAAACATGATATGCAGGATAAAATCATGGTGTCCTTTATCAGTGAATATACCTTTAGATGACATTGTAATTTGTGATATACGGACCACTGTGTGTGCACTATTTATTTATGTGCATTGAAAAACAACATATTTGTATTACAGAGCAAAATTAAAGTATATTTTTGTGTCAGATAAATTACAACAGTAGTCATTAATTACAATGTTTTAGCTGTTTTCTTGTAGACTAACAGCATGTATTTGTTTTGGATACTGTTTTGTTTATTTTAAATATAATTATTCAAGCATAATTTTATTTTGTTTTGTTTTAACTCATGTATAGCTTGTGTGTATTAAATTATTTTAATTATTTCTGTTGAAATTAGATCCATGTACTTAACTAACAGATAAGAATTCTTGCTTAAGTGTAGTTTTAGCACTTTGTGGTAAGAATTTGAAAAAATTTAATTTGGACCACTTGCTTATAATTGTTTATTTGAGGCTGACACTTCTTAAATACAGTAAGTAATACATTCATGCTTATAGTATCATTCTAGCTGTAGAAAAGTGCAAGAATTGACATAATACTTTATCTTGTAAGACGGCTAGAAACGTTTACCTTGTCTGTACGTGTTAATATTTTTCCAATGCCTGTACAAGCTTAAAATGCATTGACAGGATACATCATGTGTTGAGATAGTATACAATTTCCTTCTCAACTGTAAGGACTTTAAACATTTATTCCTCTTTTTCTCTCTATGCTTTCTTTTTTCAAGGATTCCGTCTGTATTTTTTTTTAAACTGAAAACAGGTCAAAATATGACTACTGTATTTAATAGGAGTGAAAGCCATGCCTTATTGTTTACAAACTGTTGAAGGTCATTATTTTTATCTTTTTTATGTATGTAAAATATTTTTCAATTATTACTTTTTTAATTTTTGATCTGCTTGAATGACTTTCCAAATATATTTGCAATACTTTGTTTTTAGCTTTATATCAGATGAGGGTCTTGCAGAGTGGTCATTATAGCTCTACTAGACAATACACGGGTAATATTTAAATAGTCTTATTGAAAATTGCAATCTGTAGCATTTATAGTGGAATGTAAAACAGGTGGGGCCTGATTCTGTTCTCATGTATACTGGGTTAACGCCATTGACTTACACTGTTGTCAGAGAGGTCAGGCCCATTGTATATATTAGTTGCTGTTTTAGTAACATTTACACTCCTAGACCTAAAAGCAGTTTCTGCACCTTGGTTGATCAGAGAAAAGATCACACACAAACAAGATTTATACCTCTTGTAAACAAAAACAAAACAAAACTGCTTGTAACAATCTAACAACTGTTGGTTTTAAACGGCTTGTCATATGTAAATATAACTTGTATTCTTGGGGATATTGGTGTAATTTTGGGGGACAGATCCTCAGCTGTTGTAAATTGTCATGACTTTGCTGAGACAACTAATACAAACTAAGCAGCTGTTAATTTTTTTTATATATTTGGTTTAGGTTTTAAAGTTTATCTGCATGGCCATATTGGATAAATTTTGGCACATCTTCAAACTACTTCATTTTTATGTAAAAACTTGTTCAATTATAACTATTTTTGCAAACAGTCGTCTAGATGCAAAAGTAACCAGGAAAGATCTTGTGTTCTGCTATTACAGTCTGATATTTATTATCATGAAACAAATATATAAAATCAGTTCAACCTATGCTTTAGGGTGAGTTATAAATCCTGCCTTTTAAAAAATGTTCATAAATTTAATTTGTTCTTTGTTGTACCAAACATGATTTTTCTTAGAATACTTTTTTAAATTGTAGAGGTCCAAGGAATAAATTTGTTACATAGTGTCATGTTAAAAACATTTGTCTACAGTTGAAGTTTTCTGAGCTATCTAATTAAAGTTGTACATTTGGTATGTCTGTCTGCTAAAATGGTATCTAAAAGCCCAAATGTTCTCAAATGTTTATTGGCATTTATAAGGACAGATAGTAGATCATAAGTATTGCTTTTTTTCTTCAAAATATGACAGGAAAAATAATTTGTGAAATAAGACTAAGTTTAGCCTGTTACTTTTATCAGTAGTGCAAAAAGATGCCATCATATCCTCTTGGAAACTGTCTAATCTAAGTAATTGTGTTTTTATTCTGTAAATAACATAAGATATGACCCAGGTTCAGCATTTATTTTAAAATAAGAGCTTTGCTTATGGCTGCATGTAGTAATTCAAAAGATGCAGGTAACAGTTTTCTCCTGTAAGTGTTGTTTACTTTTTGACATAAAAGAATATTTAAATTGATACTTACTTTAAAAAGTTATACAAGGTACAAAATTGAGTTTTTCTTTGCGCTCCAGTTTTGCATCCCAATTTGAAGAGTAAAAACCAAATATAAAACAGATATAATTGGTATTTTTTAGAGTTAAGGTATTAAAAATGTATTCCTAGTTGATCATATTTCCATTCTTAGGCTTAAAAATACTTCAGCTCTGTTTGGTTGAATGAATGTTGATGTAAGAACATTAAGTAATATAAATATAAGACAAATAAAATTAGTGACTATAAGCTGCTATATAAGGGATTCAGAATTCAACCCCTCCTTCTCCCGCAAGAAATAGTAAAATGTAAATGAGAATTGTTTTAAACAGAAATGTTTATTTCTTAATTCTCCAGGTTGAAGTTCGAAGGACTAGATCCTGAGGGGTTTTACTCTTGAGTTTACTTAGATAAAAACTAAATAGAGACTTGAAGATTTGACCCAAAGACATTAATGCTGAAAATAAAAAGTAAGCCTTAAGATGTATTATTTCATTTTAAAGTAAGGAGAGAGATTCTGTTTATATTATCTCTTCAGTTACTTTGGAAGGATGCTCATTGTTCAGTGTGAGTATCAAATGATGCTCACAAATTTCTACAATTAAGTCTGCTCTTATCCTTGTTTCTTTGTCTGAAGTTGCCATTTGCAGAGGGTTGAGCCATGGTGTCCTATCTTGATTTGGGAAGCCTAGAACAGATCAAGATGAAACACTGAATAGTGGGTCATCTAGCCTCCAAGGGCTGTACATCCCTACTGAATATTAGGCAAGATTTATAAATTAAGAAATTTAAGTTAGTTTTTTTTCTTTCAAAACTACTGAGCACCAAACACCTTCCCAGTGACCTCTGTTAGAAGCACAGTATTTTAGAAAAATCAGGCAGGTGGCTGATCAGACTCATTTTTCTCTTGAAATGTTTTATCTAGACTGTAGCCTATTGCATATTAGTCAATCCTAAAACAGCCTTAAAATTCAAATCCAATATGTAGCTTCACCTTCATCATACTTCTTTTGTAGAGAATAATGTATGTTGGAAAAGAACTTTACCACTTCTCAAAAATAGTATCTTCAAGTGTTGTTAACTCTGTCCTTCCAGTAGTAGCTTCTTTGCAGCATTCAATTTTTTTTCTTTGTTGCTTATTTATTCCATTATTTTTGTCATCGGAGATTCCTTTACTTTTGTACAGAAGTTGTCTAGCTGCCTATATACTTTGTTGCCTTAATTCTGCAGTCTGATTTTTTTTGGTAACCCCTTTGCCTATCCAGATCCCTGTTGGCATCTGCGAGGCTGTGCACTACAGGAATTATACACAGATCAGACAACTGGATTGTGGCCTACATGGTATAAATAATTTTTCTTAGTATTATTTGTCAGGGTTATTATTTGGAAAAATTATTAAATTAGCAAATTGTCCTCTTCTTCTTTCAGTATCTTATCCACCAATATCATTTGATCTTGAAACTAACTTAATTTTTAGTTTTTCCTGTCTATCAACCACTTGCTATTGTTAGTTTATAAACTGATACCAACTGCAGTTTCTATTCTAGATGGTTTTGTGGCAGAATGCTAGAGTTAACATTTGCTTTAAGATAAGAGTAGAAAATCATATTGGCATAGATTTTGACAAAAATGATATCCAAATGCATTATTATCACTCCCACTATTTATATACAGTTGATCAGGGAATGTTATGTTACAAAATTGAATTCTGTACTTGGATAGGAAATATCTGTTTTGAAATTTTAGAAGTAGTGTGAACACAAAATATTAAATGTACTTGTGAGCCAGCAAATAATTCAGTGAGACCATAAAAGTTTAATTTGCCATATTCATTTAATATAGCTTTGTGTTAATCCTATTCTAAAATATGAGTATCAAAATAAGCTTCTTTTTTTTTTTTTTAATCAGTGATTTTTTTTCTTATCCTCATGATTCTTTTACCATTATGCTAGTGAACAAACTTGGTTCCAATAATAACTCAGTGGAAGCTAATAGAACATTTGACTTTGTTTAAATGTTTTTCCCTGTATTTCACTATCGTTTTAAAATGTAGGAAGTTGAAAGGATGCGCCTTTTGCTGTAATATAGGTTTGTTGAAGTCTAAATGTTAAAGTAATGCAGTAATTTCAGATCACCTGGAAAAAAAGCTTTCGTCACTTCATGACAGCTTTATATTTAAGTGAAAAAGCTAAACACCAAACAAGTCATTTTTAAAAGAAATGCAAAATTTACAAAGAAATGCAGAATTTACATCTATCCAACCTATCAGCCAACCAGAATCTGTTGGACAAAAAAAGTTTGAAACATGGTAAGCAGGTATCATGCTTAGCTAGCTGTAATGTGTAGCTCTCATTTTAAACTGAATGCTAAATAATTTATTTAAGGCATAATAAAAAGGGTACAGGCTTTCATGAACTCGTTAAGATAGTAATATTTATAAAATATATATTTAAACTGATAGCTTTACAAGTTTCACTTTTGGTTTGTACTATAGCCACTTTCCATCCAAGAAGCTGCAGTTCAGAATAAATATTTACAGTAAACATAAGCATAATTCTCATTATGTAATTTAAGTATTAACTACTATAATTTTTGGAAATTGGAGCTGACATGTTACATACCATTTTGTCCTATATAAGTATGCATGATTATAGTTAGTCAGATGGAAGTTTACTTTGATAATGTATTCCAGGCCCATTTAATCTGGTTACTGCAGCCTTGTTAAGTAAGCAACTGTAGATGTACAGAAATAAATGTTTAAATTGTAAATTCATTGAATTCGTTTTCAGTAAACCTGTTACCATTTAGCCTAGCAAAACAAAAAACTAATTTTGTGTTACAACTGTTTGTATGAAATACAGTAATGAAAAACAAGTTTCTATAGTTTGTAACTTCTAATAAAGTTCTATGTTTGTGTAACTAAACCTTTAATTCAAATAAAATTTTCTGTATTTACTGTTGGTGTTAAAACTTATTTTTAATTTAATAGAGAGATGTATGATGCATGATATTGGATAATTATTTTTAAAACTGTAACCTCATACAAGATAGATTTATTATATGGTATTTTGGATCTGAGGTTAAAATAGTATTCAGGGGAATGGAGAGGGTGACTTTTTCCTATTCAAACCACCACATTCAGTGGCTCCATGTTCCTATGGCCTTCACTCAGGGGTCTATCAAAGTTTCTTCAAACAATCGGAAGGAAGATTGAGCTAGGGCAGAGGTTCTCAAACTGTGATCTGCAGACCACCACTGGTCTGCAAGCTCCTTTCAAATGGTCCACAGAAAGGTTGCAGAACAATCGAGAAAATCTGTACTTGTAAGGTAAGTCTACTGATATTAAAATATGTGTTGTGTGCTTTGATCTGTAGAACAAAAAAAAGTTTATTAAGTGGTCTGCCAAGACCCCCCAGCAATTTTCAAGTGATCTGCAAAAAAAAAAGTTTGAGAACCATTGAGCTAGGGGATACTAACCTCTATAGAAGTGAGATCCTTTTAAGGGTGCCATGGGGGGCAGTGCAGTATGAGGTGTGCAAACACCTACATATGGTTCACAAGAGGAAGTCAAAGATTTCAAAGACATTCTGACCTATTGTGGCCTTTCTGAATTCTTTGAAACAGAAGAATTGCTCTTATTATTTTTCCATAGTCAAAATAATGAGTGAAAACTAGGAGGTGGCATTTGCCAAGGGTTGCCTTGAGTCCAGTGAGGGTGCCTTGAGTCTAAAAAGGTTTAGAACCACTGCTGTATACCTTCGGATTAATGTTCTATATCAGCACCAGATATGAACATTCTGACCTCTGTTTTGAGATATATTTGGCCCGACCATTGTGTTATTTCTTGTTTTTCTGCTCATGGCTCTAGTTTCCTGCCAGTCAAAATGTCATGAGTGAAACCTTTGTAAATCCCTAGACATATTTGTTTAGTTTTCAGAAAATTAGTACCTTTTTATGGTTGCAGTAGTTAGATATGTGATGCCTAACACTTCTTGACTTCAGATGGACAATCAGGGAAATAAATCCAGCTATAAAAGTGGGCCAATCTGCAGTGGTTAGGTGCCAATTGCATGTAATCCCACCAGTTAATTAAAATGTCTCTGTATACTTCACAGGGATACATGATTTATATGTTTTTGCCCTTATAGGTTGTTAGAGACATCCTGAAGGTTCACTTAACTCCAGTAAGTCATCTTTCCTGAAAAGTGTAGTCTCTATAATGCAGAAAAGGTACATCTATAATGCTTCTGCAACAGTCTTGGTAACACCACTCTGAAGCATACCCTGACCAACCACTTCTGGAACAAAAGCAGTGGAGCCACACCGAGGTGCCTTCCGCTATGGCTCTCAAATATGCTAAATGCAAAGATTGTTATGGTGGCAGCAGAGGGTGACCTTAGTTGATCTTCACCACTTTGTTTCTGGGTTTGCCATATGTATGTAAAGTGAGATTGTGTGGGAGTTAAAATGGTGCTCCCAAGATTGCTGCAGAAACAATGTAGACATTGAAATCTCTTGATCTATAGCTGCTGGAGGTACACTTTTAGTTTTAAAAACTTTTGGTTTCACTGGTGGCTTCCTTAACACTGAAGAACCTTTATAAAATATGACTTCTTGAAAACAGTATTCTTCCTCTTAAATTGAGCATACCAAGCCAATTTCTAATCAATACAGTAAGAAATTATGGATCCCGCTTGCACTCCATATATGTGAGCCTGGAATCTTTCCTGAGTAGCAGTGCCCATTGGGGTAGAGCAGAAGACAAAGCCATGATGACCTTACCTCATTTCCCTTCCCATGACTAATGTCCCAGTAACCAGGCACTGTACACCCACTTCCAATGGAGGGTAAGTAGTCATCAGAAAGGGTGCCAAGACCACAAGTGATAGCACAAAGAATTGATGCCAGTCACTCAGGCACCTTTACCTGTGGCATCAAAGAACTCAGTAATTAATGCATCAGCACAGACTGAGACAAAATGATTCTGGAAATGTCATTTACTTCAAGCAGAAAGTGACATTCCTGCATACAGGGCAAGTACAGTTCAAATGTTCAGGAAGGAGGACATAAAGTAGCCCTCCAGTCACTCTTCCATCTTCTGGCTGACAACAGTTACAGACTATGAAGAAGGCACAGGAGACAATGGGACCAATACTGAGATACAGGTAGGCATTGAAACCTGCACCACTTATCAATATTGTCAAGGATCTAGAAGAACTTTCCAGGATGAAAATGCATCTTGAAGAAATTGCTGTTGCCTGTCACCAGGCCAGTGTCTGAAGAAAAAAATCTTCACTTTGGAATGGACTTCTATATGCTTCCTATTCAAGCTGTCGTAATCCTAGTATTCATCCAACCTTGAATGCCAACCACTCTTCTCTGCTATTTGGGTCTTTTTCTACATCTGGAAGACAGGAATTGTGGTTGATTTGGTTTACACTGTCCCTTATCTATTAAAAGATACTACGGTAGGTCTCTGATTAATGCAGCTGTTCAACAGCACACTGCTTTTGAATGATTCTAGCTTTCAAAACACAGTATGCATCTTTGGCAATATAGTCTAATAGTAACTCGTAAACAATTAATAAAAACAAAACCATTTATATACACTATGCTAACTACACTGGAACAAGAATAACATCAGAAAACAGGAAACATGAAAATAATGCACTAGATTTTAATGAGCCACAGAGACCATAGGGTGTTATCTACCTACTGAAAGCAACATTGAACTCCCATCTGTCTCTTGCAGTACTACTATCTCTGCAACACACAAGACCTTTCCAAACTGCTATCCTGATGTAATAACCTTCCACAGATAGAATTAAATCCTATCTTCTGTTTTTACATGAATCTCCAAATAAAATAACTCATTAATATTCAGCTTCTATTTACTCCTAGGTGCAATTCCATGTACTAAGATGTAAGCGAAGGCAGAAATTGAACCAGTGGTTTCCATAGGAGCTCTGTTTGTGGATTCTGCAGGCAGAATTTGGTCTGCTGGGACATCATGTTGTATTCTTTTGCTATAATATATCATATCCTCTTCATTTTAAAAGTCCTTGTATGTTACAAATTCATTTGAGAGATGTAATTTTAAAACCGTAATTTTGCTAATATTTTCTTCAATTAGGAAAAATTAAGTCATGTACAGTGTAATTCATTTAATAACACAGTGCTGTTCCCACTTTGGGACCTATTACTTACATTATAACAATCCTTGGTGTATACTGGTTAAGCGCATAAATTGCTTAAGTGCATAGGAACTCTTGGCCCAACTGCCTATTTTATAATGTGCTTGTACTCGATTTAAGTGCATAATTGGTAAAAACTGAATAGGAACTATCAATTTCAAGCCTTCTATAGCAGCTTGAAAGGACTAAGGATGTGGACATAAATAATAACCAATTTAAATGCAGTCCAAACCTGAAGTGGACAGATGTAACGCCTGGTTTAAAGCTTCCTGGAACTGTTCAAAAGAGTACCTGGAAAATCAAGTATTCTTTTGAACTGGTTCACTGTGAAATAGGTCTGTTATATGTGGATACCAACTGTTCTGTGACACAAGTCTGGTTGGTCCTTCAGGCATCCAACTCTGGCTCACTCCTTGCTTCTCCTTTTCTGCTTCTGTTGCAATAACTGACTGCTCTGGTACACAGCCAGAACTCTTGCACCTTTTTTTTCCTTTCGTTGATGCTTTTTATCAGTGAGCTCCCTTGCACTGCTTATTCAATAAAAACTATCTTTCCAACAATAGTGTCCTCACTTCCTACTCAACTATGGCCCTTCAGCCCCTGGAAATACAATCCAAGCACTTTCTTCCTCCTGGGTACCCCAAGTCAGGCAAGCATACTGCCGAGTTCAATTTCAGGCTGCTGAACTTTATTGAACTCATGTTGAGGAGAGAAGGGAAAGCATAAATGTAAAAATGTCCTCAACCACAAGCCATTGACCCCTGTGGACCTCCAAAGCCATGGGTACAGGTACTCTTCTTGCCCACTCATCCACTGTGAGGCAAACTGGGCAAGCTGGGTGCTTGTTCCCACCTCTTGATGTCAAAGCCATAGCATGTCAGTGCCTAAAAAGTAACCATTTTATCTGGCCTGGACATTATTTGTGTCCCACAACAACTGTGAACACTTCTGACCCACACCAAGTGTGAGCCCATTCTCAATCTGTGACATTTGGGAGTGGATCAGTTGTTATTGTGTCTATACCCTAAGTGTAGGCAATTTCAAAGCTGCTATTATGAGAGAAAAAATAAAAGCTTTAATGAGGTACATAAAGCTTAGGAAGTCTGTTTCTATGTGCTGCTTGCAGATATTAAAAAACAAAACAAAACACACTTTACTAAAAGCAGCACGTTACTTTGACCCAGCTCTGCAGTATCTGTATAGATCAGGCGCTTCAGCAGGGCATTTTGGTGCTTTTATCTAAAGCTGAGTCAATCAGCTATTTGATAAAAACACCAAAAAAGCCCCACTGAAGCACCTGATCTATATAGATGTTGGGCGAGCCGGGTCCAACTAACGGACTTCCTCTTCTGAGCATGCACTCTGCTTGGCAGAGGAATGTGGAGTTTAAAGTGCCATATTTTTTTTAACATCTGCAAGCAGCCATAGTTAATGAATATTGTTTACATTGAGTTCCAGATAGGCTAGCATGAAAGTGGCAGGTCCAACTTCACACCTTCAACAGAGTTTCCCTGGGTGGAATGGTTTGCCACTGGAGGTTCAATTGAGAGGAGTTTGCTGTCTAGATGACATGTATGCGGTTGAGGGTTGAAAAAGGTGGACTCGTAACTGTTTGTGTAGACATAGTCCTAGTGAATACAGCTAACCATTCAGAACTAGCGGGCACTTCTGCAAATGTAGCCCTAGTTGTCCATTTTCCAAGCTCTTTTGCTGTCATCCTCACATTTCCTGAGACTTGATTCTCAATCAGGTTTGAGTTTGTTGCTACAAAATATACTACAACACTCTTAGAACTGTGCATAGTTTTGTTCAGCCTCAAAGCTATGCACTTAAAAAAGGTACACTGTATAGGGTGCTCTATAAAAAAACAGCACTATGGAACTCCAGGTTTGTTTTCTCTGAATAACTCCATATCAAGTGTGTTTGGTTTACAAATAAAAAATATTATTTTCTAACTGCAACAGCCTGGGCTACAAAAGTCACACTGTGTTCATTCAGCTTAGACATCACCATCATCCAAGTCAGGTAAATTGTAGGTAAGAGTGAGCTACAACTCACTTGACTTGCTGCTAACAGGCATTGATGTCCAAAGAGGAAAGAATGCAGCAAAGTTGTCAGAGCCCAGTCTGAAATTACAGCTGAAAAAAATTAACCCATAAGATAAGTGCATAACTCTGGAACAGATTTTCATACAAGTTAAGGAATTTGCAGTGTAAAATGTCTTTTACTGTCTTAAGTGCTGATATAAGAAAAGAAACCTTAAAGTGTTTAATGTACTTGGAGAATAGGAATAAAAAGTCTACAGAACTTTATTCATGCTGTATAACTTGAAACAACAATCTTTCTCTTTAATATAAGGTTCATTTTAGTATGATTTTTAAATGTAATGCTTAACAACAGCTGAATTGTCTTGTATTAAGCTTGATTTTCTTTGCTGCTTTTTACTGTAATCATATATGCTCTTTTTGCCAAGAAAAAATATTAAATAACCACGTATGATTTTCCTTTTGAAAGAAAATTCCTAGGGAAAGGAAATAGGAACTAAATTTTCCAATCTAAAATAGAGTTTAAACTGCCTTTCATTTACTTTCCTCCCCTTTGAGATGCCAGAAGTGATTTCCTCTTGAAGCTGACTTCCTTTCTGGAAATGATTTTCGTCTCCAACCATGTTGAAACTCTTTTCTCAGTAACTCATTCCAACTAACTTGCATTTTTCTCTCATTTGCTACTGCATCTGAATAGATCTTCTGACGGTAAGTAATTACATCTAAGTTTCCCTTCGACTTTTCTATTTCAGTTCTTTTTTGCCTCCTTATCAGCCAGCCAAGAGGAACAGACAAAGCACTATTGGTGTCCTCTGCAAGAGAACACTGATAGGGGGCTGGCTGCAAATTGACGTGGCATGGAAAATCTCTGCTAACTTGTAGCAGCTTGTATGTTTCTGTAAGATCAAGCCCACTCTTGCTGAGCTCGTAGTTTGAAGTCCTTATGTAATCAAATTTTGTATGTAAAAATTAATAGCAAATGCCTTCACTTTCTAATTTTGGAGATGAAATTTTTGTATTTTTATATTTATGGCTAGTACTAAACAAAATCCAAGGCAGTTAGTTTGTTACTTTTTTTTTCCAGCGAGTACAACAGATCTTGCTGCTTCCTCTCCCTTTCCTGCAACTTAATTCTTTGCAGATTTTGCCATGGGGTGTGGACTGAGAAAGCTAGAAGACCCAGATGATAGCAGCCCTGGAAAAATATTTTCTACATTGAAGAGACCACAAGTTGAAACAAAGACAGACTCTGCTTATGAATATGTATTACTGGATTTTACTTTAGAAGGTATTTTTCTTCTATTTTTATCTTAAGGTTTTTTCCAAAATGGGGAACTATATTTTATTTTTTAATTTTTAATAAAATAAGATAAAATGAAGTTCTGATACTTTATCAAATGTAACTAGTACAGAGTTTTATTGCAAAATATTAAGAGTAAGGGACTCAGTTGGAATAAACTATAATTGAAATAGTTGTGTTTATAACAAAAAAGGAACAATTACACAATTGCCTAGATTAAGGAAACTGAACAAAAAGATTGTTTGTAAGATTTTCCTAGCTTCCTATGAGTCAGATTCTTTCATCCTTACTTTGAGTAACACTTGCCTGAGTTCAGTGAAATTGCTCACAGAACAAAGTACTACTCGGAATGAATAGGGATCACAGAATCTGGCCCCAAATTACTAATTTTTTTTTTAACGTATTTAACTCCCTTAAGAAGAGTGTTATATTTCTTGTTAGTTTGTGTAGAAATAGCTGTTTACATGCTACAAGGAAGTAGATTTTTAGGCTATTGGCAGAAACATTAGGAAGAGTGTTTGAGACCGGACCCTGAGTCTAATTTTAAATACCATTTTTCCAAACATCTTTGTACCTGCTAAATGGTCTTTTAAAATTGTAACTAAAATAAATTTAAAACTTGTGTGCACAGTTAGAGGCAGACAGTGATCTGTGGGGAACTTCCTCAGGGTGTCCCATCTCTAAACAGTAACTCCATGTTCCAGAAAGCTGAAAACACAAATAAACAAGCCCAGATGGCTACCCTCCGAGAACAGACAGCTCTGTTGTGGAGTCATTTTGTACAATTTCACATTTTTATAAGTAACATTTTTTGCTAAAAGTTGATAGTAGAGATTTAAAATAAGTGACCTGATAAATCCAAAGAGTTGAAAGAAGAGAACAGTGACTCTTATGTGACTTCATACAGCAACTGTTTAATAAATATAAACGTCTGACATTTATTGAATTTGCTGTTTGAATGCTCAAATTACATTAATATGCATAAAACAGAAACATTAGTCTTGATGACTAACAAAACTGCATGAATGACTTACTGATGAATAGAAAACATAATACTACTAAATTTTAGTATTTGACATCTAATGGTATTTTGAGCTTCCATTATAATAAAGATGAGTTGCTTATTCATTTGGCCTGTGCAGGAAACAAAACTTCTTTGTTTTGAGAAGTAGAAATAACGTACTCTGAGACTAAAGCTGGGTTCTCTAGTACATAAATTAATGACCTACTGGTGAATCACTATGAATCTGAAGGATAGTAGAATGTATTCTCTTTAAAATTAACTGTTTTATTTTCTTAAATATACATTGTGTTCTAAATACTATATTTTTACTTAAGTAAAATGTTATGAAAGTGAATGGAAGGAATTTGTTGTAAAGAAGATTGTTGCTTTCAGTGTTAAAAACACATGTACATATTTGGAGTGGAGGGAAAAGATGACCTTTGTATCATTGGGATGACCAGTGTCGTATTTCAAAAGAATTATGGCCACATTTTTCAAGCCATGGAGCATAATTGTTAGGCTTTTGAATCCTTCTTTAACTATTTGATTAAAAATGGTTTAATAGAGATGCTGAATACCTCTAGCTTCACTGAGAATTCCAGGTCCTTGATAGCATTGAAAAAGAAATCACTTTTACTTAGTTGCTTAAAAATTGGTTTAGGAGTCTAACTTAAAGGCACTTTGATTTGAAAATGTGGACCTATATATAAAACAGTGTTGGCTGAATATGTACTTTTATTCCAATATTCCTTTTCTTTTGAGTTTCTTCTCTACAAAGCTATGTTTCTGTATGCCCACATTATCTCAATACACACCTGCCCCCACTCTGTCTGTCTTGGATGCTCTGGAATTATAGTGAATTTTGCTTAATAAAATTTAGGGATTGATTTAAGGATGTTGTTGAACCTGTACTTTTTATACTTGATGTAAACTACTCAATTCTATTTGACCATATTAGTTGTACCAAGTCCCTTGAGTTCATGAGCTTTAGTTGGAGCTCAGTTAAACTTTGAGCAAAATGAATGTCACCCTTTCATCAAGCTAAATGTGCTGTCTCCATAGCATTCTCACTCTCCACTGGTCTGGGGAGCAAAATCATCCTCAGCATCAGTATGTCGTACGTGATGGAGTGAGATTCTGGTCCTAAGTAGTAGTATTAACATCTTAATTATATATGGCTACAGAAAGATTATATATATCCTGAGATGGACGTGTGCAAGAGTTATGCTAAAAGAAACAGAAAGAAGGACCTACCAGGAAGAGTCTTACAGGCCCCTAATTTTCTGCCAAGCCCTGGCACTGGTTATGGCAGCTAAGGGCTGCTCTAACCTAAACCAGCTAGCTTGGATCCCCAAAAGAATATAAACCACCTGAACATACCCAGAACATGCTTTTGCCTCTCCTCCTCCTCCTCATTCCCCATAAGTCCTACAGGAGAATACCAGGAGAATCCTTAAGTAGGGAGAAAAGGCAAATTTTCATTTTCTTAGAACAGAAGAGAGAATTTCTTCAATGTATTTATTAAGGGTCCATTCCTTATTCCAGATTTTACCATCAGACCTAAGAGGCATCTCTAAGATAAGCAGCCTATCCTACAAGATAAGGATAACTTATTTTTGATGCTCAACTTTAAACATTTATTGGGAGAGAACTGAAGTTCTCCCAATGCAGTGTTTTATGCTTACTTCACTTTTCTGTTTTATTTGGAAAAAAAGAAGAGCCTGTGCCTGTGTTTTTTTTATCTTGTTGTATGTTGAAATTATATACAATATGATGCTCCTGTCACTTTGAATATATATAAAAAGTGACAGGACCATAATATATATTCTATTTTATTTATATATACACATACACACACATTTTAAACATATACTTTTATACACACAAACACTGTGTGTGTGTGTGTGTGTGTGTGTGTGTGTGTGTGTGTGTGTGTGTGGAGATATATATGTATATCTATAGATAGATAGATAGATAGATAGATATAGACACTGTGTATAAACATATGTGTATATATATATATACACACTATAAAAGTATATGTATAAAAGGTATGTGTGTATATATACACATACATGCGTGCACACATATATATATATATGTATATGTATGTACGTGAGTGTGCGTGTGGAATTTGATATTTCGAAAAATGCTAGCAAATTTCGAAGCTGAGCAAACTGAATACAGATATAATTTGTAACTGTGTGGATCACCTGTTGTGAGAGAACCCGAGAGGATAAAACTGTTGTTTAAAATCTGCAAGAGTTGTGACATTTGGCTCTATGTGTAATAGTCAAATGATGATCATGTTTCACATGCACTTGTTTCTATGGGGGAGGTATGTTATAGGAGCTATGCTGTGCTGCTTGTTCAGTAGATATTAACATGTCCATTGGATTCATTATGAAGTGTATGCTTGGAGGAAGCTATTACTAGTCTTGTTCACTTAGGATGGATTTCTGTTTTCCTTTGTGTTGATTTCTATTTCTCTAAGTGGAACATAGATGGTATTTTTGTCACAAACACAAGTTGTGATTATATTTTCCCTGCAGTGCGAGTGTATAAGTGTGCACACACAGACTGAACATACACAGTAGGTGACATACTGGCTGAGCATCTATGCAACTATGTACATGTGAATATGAGCCTGTCCCCCAGGAAACAGTATGGGTAGAAGAGGAAGACATCTGTACTTGTGTGTGTGTCATGAAAATGTAGTCACATAAACCATGGCTAATGGAAGTTAAACTCCAAGGGAGGACCCTCTCATGTTTTAGATCCAATAAGTGAGTGGTTACCCAGGAAGCCAGAGACCTAAGTTCTAAGCCCCCCTTTTCTCAAGGGTTTTGAACATGCACGGACTTCTTAGCATAGTGCTTTAACCACCACACAACAGGTTAGGTATTATCCAATAGGAACCCCTACCTCTTGGATTTTATCAGTGTATAAAATGAATGGAGAACAGTGCAGCGCAGAAGTTTGTGCCCCATGTTGAAACCCAAGGCACCATCCATTTCAAAGAGCCACACATCTTCTTGCTTAGGGATGTCAAACTCACTTCAGGCCAGATCCAGACTAGGGGACTTACTTCCAGTTGGATCTGGCATGGTGCGTAGGGCAGTGGCAGTGGGACCAACGGGCATGATAGCAAGGAAACCAGGATCAGCAGGGAAAATGGCAGAACAGCATGACCAGCAGCAGTTAGGGCAAGCAGTGGCCCAGTCCTCACTTGCCCTCTCACTGTCGATGGCTGTGTCCACTAGGGCCAAGAGGCCGTAGATCAGGGGCAGGAAATTATTTTGCGTGAAGGGCTGCTCACCGAGTTTTGGCAAGCCATTGAGGGCCGCAAGGGTAGCCCCACCCCTTGACACGTGCCCCACCCCCTTATTGTCATCTTGGGACTGGAAGTCTCACCCCCTAACCCTGACCTTTGCCACCAGAAGTCTCTCCCCTTGTCCCCAGAACCATGCCTTTCAGCAAGGGGGTTTGCCATCTTGGAACCAGAAAAATACCAAATTATATTCTAAAAATCAAACATACTACAACAGTCATTTAATTTCATATCAAAAATATTTTTGTCCTGATTGATATATGTGTGTGGAGTGTACATAGAGCTATTAGTATAATATCTTAAAGTTAGGTCTTACTCTTGTATATCGTGGGAGGGCATGGGTGGGTGGGTATAGGTTTGTGAGGGGTGGATAGGCATGTGGGTGTGGGTATGTGTGTGGTGTTTGTGGGAGGATGGATAGCCTTGGGGGGTGTGGATGTGGGGTGGGGGAGCATGGGGCTTGTGGGGAGCTGTGAGTGAGTGGGGAGAGGGTTTGCCCACAGCTCCACCCCCCACAGCTGCCAGCGCTCCTCCAAGCCTGGGCTCCAGGCTCCTGCTGCTCCTGGCCCTGAGGCACTGGTGCAGGCCCCATGCTCCTGCTCACCACCATTTCCCCCTCCCGTCTGTCACTGCTGCCCTTCTCATGCCACTTGC